AGATAAAACAAGTGCATATATATATATATATATATATATATATATATATATATATATATATATATATATATGCAACGAAAATACGTACAGCAAAATGTAACTTTCATATATATATATATATATATATATATATATATATATATATATATTACGTAAAAAACATTTATAATTTATCATCATTTAACATCATATGAAAAAAATTACATAAGCATCTGTACACAGCTTTGGATATAAAGATGTTGGAGAAAGACAAAAACATTTCGGAGGATTATATATATATATATATATATATATATATATATATATATTATTAGTGAATATAGATAATATCCTAGGTGTCGATAGGATATTATATATACACTTAATAGCTCTGTTATATAACATTAAGCATTGTTTTAATACTCCTGAAGAACATATATATGTACGTGCAAGTATATGTGCGTATACATGTTTTTTATCATACCCATCTCTCTCTATCTATCTATCTATATATATATATATATATATATATATATATATATATATATATACACATATGTACATATTATTGCATAATTTAATGCATATAAATGTTCTATTTGAAACACTTTAAAAAAGCGATGTAATGCACAAAATGATAAAATGTTTGTATTATTTACCCGTTAACAGACTGTTTCACACTGTGCAATAAAAAAATGGGTGTTTCTTTCGAATTCTCACGAAATATGTACACACACACATACACACTCTCACACACAAGCGCACACACACACACACATATATATATATAGTGTGAGAGAGAGAAAGAAAGGAGAAAGAGATAATATATTATATATTTATATAGTTAAAATTTAATACTTTTATTATATATAAGATAAGCAAAAAAGTCCTTGCAATTTTTTTATTTATTAGAAAAAAGTTGAATGCAGTATATTTAACAAGCAGTTGGTCCTCAGCGTAACACTAGCACTAACCGTTGGTCCTCAGCGTAACCCCTAACCCTTACCCTACCCGTTGGTCCTCAGCATAAACCCTAACCCTAACGCTAACCGTTGATCCTCAGCGTAACATCGAACCCTAGCCCTAACCGTTGATCCTTAGTGTAACCCCTAACCCTAACCCTTACTGTTGGTTCTCAGCATAAACACTAACCCTAACCCTTACCGTTGGTCCTCAGCATAAACATTAACCCTAACCCTAACCGTTAGTCCTCAGCGTAACCCCTAACCCTAACCCTAACCCTAACCCTAACCTTTGATCCTCAGCATAAACCCTAACCCTAACCGTTGGTCCTCAGCGTAATCCCTAACCCTAAACCTAACCGTTGGTCCTCAGCGTAACTTTTTGCCAATGTGCCTCTAACTGCGCAGTGCCCTGGTTGCTAACATTAGGTGTCTTAGACACAAAGTAGTCTGTAGATGCTTGCTGCACATCTGCCAAATTTCCGAATGATTTCCAACAATGGTGGATATACTGGGAATGGAAGTGTTGATAATCTGTTAGCTCACGGTTCGGCGAGTAAGGTGAATGGTATCCCTAGCCACCAGCGCCAAATGTTACCTGGCATTGTCATGGAGGAACAGTACAGCTTTGCAGTTAACCAATTTTGGCTCCTTCTTTAGTGCCCGTTATATACGTTCCAACTGCTGCGAGCCCAGATCCGCAGCGATGGTTTGGCCCTTTGGTAGCAGCTCACAGTGCATCATTTGCTGGATATTCTACCAGAAACAGTGCATGAGATTAGGTGGGTGTAGAGTTGAGCTTGTGGCGTGAAGCACAGGTTTCCGTGCTGTCAACCGGTGAATGGCACTCTTGGCAGTGTCATACAGAACCCATTTTTGGTTAAATATGATTACATTGTAGTGCCAAAAAAGCAATGAGAAGCAAGCAGCCACCCCATCGTTGATTGTAGGTTTTTATTAATGTGTGGGGTATCCACTTGCTCCATTTCTAAGAGTTCCATACGGGGTGTAGGTGAAATCTGAACCTGGAAGCGTTCGACAAACCCACCACAGGTTTAACCGTTTCCCGCCTCTATGGCAGCCTTCAGAGCATTACCATCCAGGACATGGGACACATCTCTCGACCTGAACTTCCGGAACCAGTGCCTAGTGTTTCGTTCATGCATAGCATTGTCCCCAAAAGGCTTCAAGAATTCGGCGACTTGATGCGGCAGCAGACAAGCCCATCTTAAACAGACAATACTTGAACGAGGTACTTCGACCCTGCCATGTTTTCTCGCCGCTGCTCGAGCTATGACTATGTGCCCGCAACACACCTGCATTAGTCGAGAGTAATGCCTTCACCTCGTTTGCGTATCACTGATCACTTCTTCCCACACGACGAATAAAGCGACACGGACATTTTTGTTTCTGTCTATATTTCTGTATATATTTTCATTTTTGTCTACTGTCCTTTTAATTATTCTTTTATTGTTCTCGTTCCTTAATAATGTTTCTCTTTTTTATTTTTCTTTCCTTATTCAAAATCAGTGACCCCTCATGTCTTTGTGGTTTTACTGTCTTGTATGGTGTGTATCTGATTAAAAAAAAACAATTATAAAATATTTCTCTTAAAACACATTTTTAGAAGAATCTGGGAAAATTTTAGGAAAACAGATCCCTCAAGTCCAGTAGCTGTTACAGCTCTTTCTAGTATTGGTGTAGATTTTCTTTTGAATCTTCTATTTGATATTTTGAGGAATGGTAACCTCCTTATTATTTTCTCTTCGTGTTATGTGTGATATCCATTTTAATTGTTGCTAGTCTTGGTAGTTCTCAAGATATGTGGTTTCTCTTATTTGGTACAATTCTTTATCTGTGATTCTGTAGCGCCAGTCCACAACGTTCAAAGCAGGATGATCATTACTAATTCAAAGCCTTTTTTCACCATTGATCTTAGAAAGCGGTCATATACAACCCTGACAATTTAGATATTACTGACCGGGTTTGGCGACATGTATGACATCCACATGAAAGTCTCGAACTGATTGGGTATTTAAGAACATGAATCGAATTTATTAATTTGTTATAGCTGATCCATTCACTGATGTAACTTAAGTGTTTTGATATTCATTAATTCCACATCGTAAATTTGTATGATGGATTCAAGTTGTAAAAGCCGGAAGTTACCTCTTGATTTAGGATCCAAACTAAATGAAAATGACAATTCAAACCAAACTAAGCTGAACCAACTAAACTGGAAAAAATAGCTGTTTTCAACAAAGCTAGATTGATTTATTTTGGATGTTTTAGAGATGATTTTTGTTTTCATTTGAATGAGAAACAGTAAAATCAATATTATAATATAATATTAAACAAGCATATATGATGGCAACAATTTATTTGTACATTTATTTCATTATTTTTTCGCATATATATATATATATATATATATATATATATATATATATATATATATAGGTTTCTGAAAAATTTATTTCGGTTGAGCTCTCTGGGTGAGGAAGTGTGGGTCTGTAAACAGTGACTATTATGGCTATTATAGCAAGACTCTTCGTTAAAGCGAATCGAGTCCTCTCAGCTACTGTGTGTTTATCTAAAAATAAATTCCCCCGCGTACCTGCCGTGCGCCAACGGCTTAGTGGTAGAATCTCCGACTGACGCCAATTCTGCCGAGTTTCGATCATAGGTAGAGGCAACCGGTCGTCTTGCCACACTGAAGAGCTGTGATACAGTGAAACAGTCTGTCTGTCTGTGGATGACAACATATATATATATATATATATATATATATATATATATATATATATATATATATATAGAGTGTGCATTTATATATATATTGTCTCATAAAGAAGTAATTACGCAAAGAATTAATAATGTTAATGTGATTAATGGCGAAATCATTCCCTAACAAGACTTAATAAGACATTAACTTACTATCAATTCCTTTGTAGATCTTTTCGTCTACACTATATTTATTTCGTCTAGGTCTTTACCTGTAAATGGAAATATTACACCCCGAAGATGATAATTTGAGATTGTCGAAAGTACTCGGCTCATGCTCATCAATTCCATCTAACGAAAACTCAGATATAAAAATCGTGTCATTCAAGGAACTGATAGTAAGTTAATGTATTATTATTTGCACAAGAAAAACAAAAACAAAACGGGCAGGAAATTAATGAGAGCCATGATCGCCTACGTTCTTAGGGGGATTCGGTACAAGCTTCCTAAATATGTTGTGTGTCGTTTCCCATTGTCCCCTGCCAACCACCTGTTCCGTGAGTATCAGATGATCAGATGTTCATCATTATATGACCCTAGAAATAGCAACCGTCTCTTCCTGGTGTTAAGTTTACTTTTTGTTTCCACTTTCTATAGAACATCGTCTTTACTGACATTTTGGTCCCTGGCATTCGTATCATCCTTCTGTAGAACCATATTTCCGTTGCTTTAAATCTCTTCTTCATCTGTAAGGAGATTATCCAGCTTTCACTCTCTGTAGAGGACAGGACAGAAAGATAGAAAATAACAATTATACAAATATACCGAAAAGAAAAGATTTAAATATATATATATATATATATATATATATATATATATATATATATATATCTGTGTGTGTGTGTGTGTGTGTGTGTGTGTGTGTGTGTGTGTGTGTGTAGCCATCCACATACAAGCCAGTTTTGCTGTATCACAGCTCATCAGTGTGTGGGACATCCGACTGTTTCAAGCTGTGTTCGAAACCCGACCAATTTGGAGATCCTACCCCTATGCTATCGGCACACGACAGAGAAAGGTAAATTTTAACGTATTATATACGAGATGTATACAAACGCCAGCAGTTAGTGCTCAATTCATTAATGAAGAAAATTATATGAGAGAGAAAGAGACAGAGAGAGACAGAGAGAGAGACAGGGAGAGAGAGAGAAAGAGAGAAAGACGCAGAGAGAGAGAGAGAGAGAAAGTGAGAGGCAATGTGTCTTTATGAAGCTATAGATATAAGAATGTTTTGTTGCTTTAATGGGAAGCTTTTTATACAATAGTCGTTTGTCAAAGATCTCGACAACTCGCTTTTTTCTATCTATCTATCTATCTATCTATCTATCTATCTATCTCAGTATGTCTATATCTATTTATCTATTTATGTAATCTATCTATCTATCTATCTATCTATCTATCTATCTATCTATCTATCTCAGTATGTCCATATCTATCTATCTATTGTGTAACAGTAAGTGTCGTTATCGACACTGTGGTTTGAAACTAGATCGCCAGTTAGTAACACGGACAATTCTATTATTAAGTAGATCACATGATCATAAAGGAAGTGAATAAATATAAAGTAGCATGATGATTAAACCATCACTGTTCTCTCTTCTTGTCTCTCCATTATTGCTATAAGTTCACTCTCTCTACTCTACTACTATAAGGATAATGATTCTCTTCTGATCATTATACTAATTTGGCGATTACTACTTGAACAAGTATTACTAGTGCAGATATTATTGGAAGGCATTACTACAAGTACCGGCGTCTACGAAGTCTCGAATATAACAAGCATTTTTGGAAATGATAACGAGCTTTCGCTTGACATAGCAAAAGTGATAAGCCAAGTAGTCCACCATTACAAAACTATCTATCTGTATGTGTGTCTGTCTCAGTCTATTCCTATATATGTATATCTATCTATCTATCTATCTATCTATCTATCTAGCTGTTCTTATATATCTATCGATCTAAGTCTATTTTTCTTATCTATTTCTGTTCTTGTATATAAGTCTGTTCTTATCTATATTTCTCTCTTTCTTCACACACACACACACACACACATACACACACACTCAACACAGTTTTGACACACACACAAATATATAATGTGTGTGTGTGTGTGTGTGTGTGTGTGTGTGTGTGTGTGTGTGTGTAGGTGTGTTTGGGTGGGTGTGGGTGTTTGACTATCAGAATTCCGGATGAGCGCTTTCCATTGTTTGCAAAACTTCTCATGAGATCTCAGTCATCCGGAAATTGACTTCTTTTCGTTACCTTTCGGTGCAAATAAAACGAATTGTTTTCACACTAATCCATCGCTTTTCACTCGCCATTTTTCCCGCCTTTGTGATTAAAGCGCGCGCTGTCAAGATATTGAAACATTTAAAAAGTCTTCTGTGTGCGCCTTTTACAAGAACGAGCTCAGAGAGACGCAGAACGGTTGAACTCGGCTCCGCCAAAGAGACATTCATGGTTACATAAGCATAGCTGTCAGTCTGAGGTACGTGTTTATCCTTGGAACAGTTCGAGACGAAACGCAGTCTTTCCGCTTGCCTTATTTAAAGTGGGCTTAATAAATAATCTAGGCGACTGTCTTTATGAGGCTTTACTTATCACCTCGATCCGCGTTTTTGGATGCCTCTCCTGCTGTCAATGTATCTGCTGATAAATGCGTTCGGTTGTACACCTTATTTAATAAAATGTATTTCGATGTATGCGTGAAGTTATACAAATACGCAGTTATTTTAATATTTGATTTTCTGAGCGCTAGAATCGTTCAGAGACTTGAAACTTTTTCTTGAGATTTCTTGGCAGAATTCCTTCGGCATTAAGCAAAGTTTACTGAAAACCAATCAATCACACCATCCATAATGTGCATCAATTTGTATTTCATATATATATATATATATATATATATATATATATATATATATATATATATATATATATATATATTGGATTAATTCAGTAGTACACTGCTACTAACAAGCAGAAATTTTAACTGTTCATGATGGCCATGCTGGCCGAAACTAGTCGAGGAATCTAATTGAAATAATAAAACAAAATATATACAACCCAGTGTCTGGAAATTTTAATTTTTTTAATTTTTCAATATTTTTTATTGTTCAAAACAAACACACACACACACACACACACACACACACACACACACACACACACACACACATATATATATATATATATATATATATATATATATATATATATATGTAACAGTGAACTATTGAAGTTAACACTCAGAGGCGACAGGCTTTAATTTGTTTATGCTAAACGCTTATTGTCAGGCCGCGAGTGTTGGATTTTATGATTATTTATATATATAACTGTCAGTGGTTAGTGCATTATGGGTAATCAATTCTGGTGGTTATTTTGGCGGGAGTGGCTTGTTTATTTATTTGGGTTAATTTATTTTACTTGTTTTTATTTTCATTTTTTTTTATTTTCGGTTTTGGATGGTTTATTAACGTAGTAAAAATCGCTTCGGTCGCTTATTTATTTATTTTTTTTTTTGGTCTGGGAAGATAATTAAAGATTATTCATTTGTCTATTATTTACTTTATTTACTTATTTGAGTTAATTGTTTTTACTTGTTGTTTATGTATTTATTTTTTTATTTCTACTATTTCGCCTATTCTAACGGGAGTGGTTTGTTAGTTTGTTTATTATTTGTTTGGGTTAATTTATTTTATGTTTTATTTTTATTTTTATTTATTATTTTTTTATTTTTATTTATTCTTTTCAGTTTTCGATTTTTAAGTAACGTTGTAAAAATTTATATTCATGTCTACATTTTGAGTTGAGCTCAGATCTTTTTTTTAGTAATTTATTTTGCTCTGGGAAGTTAATAATAGCTATTTTTCCTCCAAGCAAAGTTTGCTGGTTTTTGATTGATTGTTGTAGGCTGATGATCTTTTCCTTATTTTCCATGATATTTTTGATGTGATTTGTCTTGTTTTTAATTTCCCAGATATATTTTGAAAGCATTGTGCTCTTCGCGTATTTGCTATTTGTGAAAGATGCTTTGTGTGCATAGTTTCTTTGTTTCGAGAGTTTTTCAGTTACTCCTATGCATACTTTTACGTCATTATCTAGTGATTTTACTGTGGTTTGGTATATTACGTTGATTTGTAAGCAATTACCATTGAAGGGAGAATCATTCTTTATTGTACGTGTGTTTAATTTGTTCGTGTGGTTTGTTGATAGTTTTCCTGTTGTGTTTTTTTTTTATTTTTGCTATGTTTTCGGTGCAACTGTAACTGATTTTTACAGTGTTTTTATTGAATATCTTGTATACATTGCTTGATTCCGGGGAGTGTTTGTTTAGTAGTTTGAAGAATATTTTACCTACGTGTGATTTTAGGATTTTGCTGAATGTTGGATTGAACCATATGATATTTCTCTTCCTGTTGGCCTTTTTTTGTGCTCTGTGGTGAGTATGTGAATGTTTCCCGGAATATACTATATTTAAAGGTTGTTTCGTAGTCTTTCTTAGCTTCGTTAAATATGGTTTCCTTGGAAGAATTGTCGGAAAGCCTGCAGTCAATCGATTTTGGTATCTGTTTGATTACTGAAGGCGGGTGATTGGAAGTTGTGTGTATGTACAGTGGTTTATCATTGGGTTTTCTGAATGGTTTATAGGTGCTTTATCTTAGGTTGAAGGTAACATCTAGAAAATCTACTTCGTTTAGGTAAGCTTTTATATTTATGTCAAATCCGTTATTTTTGAAAACAATAAATAACAATTATTTATTTATTTTCAAATTTGAAACGTCCAAAAGTAAGGGACAAAATTGAGAAAAACAATGTAAACGGAAAAAAAAACAATAAAAATACATGTACAATAAATATTTAGTAAATAAGCCCTTGCTCTCAATGACAGCTGCACATCTTCGACTACAAGAACGAATCAGTTCTTGACAATCCTCGATACTAATTTAGACCATTCTTCTTGAAGCTTCACCCACAAATCCTCCGTGTTAGTGGGATTTCTTTCCATAATTTTCACTCCTAAGGTCTTCCAAAGATTTTCTATTGGATTTAAGTCAGGACTTTGCGGTGGCCAATCCATAATTTCCAAATCTTGCTCGCTAAGGTAACTCATTACCACCTTTGCTTTGTGACATGGGTCATTATCTTGCATAAAGGTAGCCCTATCGAAACCTGAATTCTGTATGATTGGCACAACATGATCCTGAACAATTTTTTATAGATCTGCGCGTTTATACGAGTTTGTAACCGGACAAGAGGCGTTGTACCTTGGCTAGAAAACATTCCAAATACCATGACGCTTCGGCCCCCAAACTTGACAGTTTTCTTAGTACACTTTGCACTTAATCTTTCACCAATACGTCTCTTTACATTGTTTTTTCCATCATTTCCAAATAAATTAAACTTGCTTTCATCACTGAAAAATACTTTTGCCCAATTTTCATATGTCCAAATTACATACCTGTTTGCAAACTCTAATCTCTTCTTCTTATTCTTCGAACTAACAAGTGGTTTCTTCCCTGGGGTTCGATTAAACAGCCCTATTTCTTGCAGTCGTCTACAAACAGTCTGTCTTGACACATTAACACATGAAGTACTATTCATAACCCTTTTAATTTCTGTGCAAGATTTAAACGGTCCTTTAATGACATACGCTGCATTATTCGATCTTCTCTTGCCGAAGTTTTGCGGGGTCTGCCGGTTTTAAAAGCACTATTTTGCCAGTATCATTGTAGGATTTAACAACCCTGCCTACAACACTCTTGGAACGTTTCACTTTCTCTAAAATCTCTCTAATGGTGTGCTTTTCCTTGTGTAGCTTCACAATAGCTTGTCTCACAGAGTAATCAAGTTTTTGGCGTTTCGCCATGGTGCCGGCTGATGCAACGTTTACAAATGACTTATTCTTTAGAGGAAATCAAACATTTGAATATAGCATACTGTTTACATTGTTTTTCTCAATTTTGTCCCTTACTTTTGGACGATCCTATTTTGAAAATAAATAAATAATTGTTATAATTATTTTTCTATCCTTTGCAAATGATTCAAATTTTAGTATGTTATTGTGGATGATAACGACTACCAGTTGTCAAAATTTCTTTAGGTTATACTTTTAACCATTAAAATTATAACCAAAAACTCTCGGAAATGCCAAAGATTTGGACAATTTCTTTATTATAATAACACAAGAAAAATTAAATAAAAACTTAACTGCAGTCCTTTGTCCGTCGTATTTAATGAAACTGGTATAAAAGAGGGATTGCTGTCCAAGAGATAAAATGTATAAAAAGAGACAAGAGGAAAAAACTATTCTTAGCCGACTCGTTTTATCCTCTGAGTGACTTTATTATCAAGGCAATGTATTTTGATGCACGTCTTTATATTCAAAGGCAAGGATGTCATTCATTTATCAAGGCTCATAACGGGAACGTTCGAAAATGTTCATGAAGTGGTTGAAAGATCAG